AGCAGCAGACGGTACTACAGCAGCAGCAGCAGCAGACGGTACTACAGCAGCAGCAGCAGCAGCTGACGGTGGTACAGCAGCAGCAGTAGCTGATGGTGGTACAGCAGCAGCAGCAGCTGATGGTGCTACAGCAGCAGCAGCAGCTGACAGTGCTACAGCAGCAGCAGCAGCAGCAGCAGCAGTTGACCATGGTACCACAGTATTTCGATAATATTTCTCACCCTTTTTACCACAGGGTTGGCACTAGAAGCTTTCTTGGGGCCCATGGTCACTTATTTTGCAGATAAAATCACCAAAAACACTGTAATAATACGAAATGTTACGATTGTATGCTTGGATGTTACCGCGGAGGCTGGCTTGTAAACAATGCCACCGGCGGAACATGTGAGGCTGGCTCAGGCCGCACATTAGACGCGTCTCGGACGAACAGCGTTGGGCGGGCTTTTTAGCGGTATGCGAGGCAAAATCTTAGCGATAAAATGTATCGGTATGCGGATTTAACGTTATGTAAGGCCAACGGTATGCGGGGGTCCACTGTACTTCTAAACTGTTGTATTCTGGGCACCTCTGCAAAAACAGTGATTATGTGTGAGTGAGGTGAAAGTGTTGAATGATGATGAAAGTATTTTCTTTTTGGGGATTTTTTTTCTCTTTGGGTCACCCTGCCTCGGTGGGAGACGGCCGACTTGTTGAAAAAAAAAAAAAAAGTATGTGCAGTTTTGTAGGTAGTAGGTTAGTAGACAGCAACCACCCAGGGAGGTACTACTGTCCTGCCAAGTAAGTGTAAAACGAAAGCCTGTAATTGTTTTACATGATGGTAGGATTGCTGGTGTCATTTTTCTGTCTCATAAACATGCAAGATTTCAGGTACATCTTGCTACTTCTACTTACACTTAGGTCACACTACACATGCATGTACAAGCATATATATACACACCCTTCTGGGTTTTCTCCTATTTTTCTTACTAGTTCTTGTTTATTTCCTCTCCATGAATGTAGAACAGAATTCTTCCTCCGTAAGCCATGCGTGTTGTAAGAGGCAACTAAAATGCCTGGAGCAGGGGGCTAATAATCCCTTCTCTTGTATATATTACTAAATTTATTTGGGCCACCTCTTGGTGGGATACGGCCAGTTTGCTGAAAGAAGATAAAAAATAAAACTTTCGAGACCACTGTGAAAGAATTATCTAAAACCTATAAAAATAGGAAGAATAAAAAAAAACTGTTACACTGAGTTAGAGATTTTATGTTTGAAAGGAAAATGTGAACAGTGATTAGAGGGGAAAAATCTCCTGGGAAAAATGTCACCGGTGGAGGTTTCACAAGGATCAGTGTTTGGCCAAGTAGTGTTTCTAATTTATATAAATGACTTGTCAGAAGGAACAAAATCTATATGAAACATAATTACAGACAAAACAAGGGAGTGATAGATATTTTTTATTTTTATTAACACATCGGCTGTTTCCTACCAAGGCAGGGTGGCCCGAAAAAGAAAAGCTTTTATCATCATTCACTCCATCACGGTCTTGCCAGAGGCATGCTTACACTACAGTTATAAAACTGCAACACTAACACCCCTCCTTCAGAGTGCCGGCACTGTGCTTCCCATCTCCAAGAATCAAGTCCGGCCTGCCAGTTTCCCTGAATCCCTTCATAAATGTTACCTTGTTACAGCACGTCAAGTCCTAAAAAACATTTGTCTCCATTTGCTCCTATCTAATGCGCTCACACATGCTTGCTGGAAGTCCAAGCCCCTCGCACACAAAACCTCCATTACCCCCTCCCTCCAACCTTTCCTAGGCTGACCCCTACCCCGCCTACCCTCCACTATAGATTTATACACAATCGAAGTCATTCTGTTTCGTTCCATCCTCTCTGCATATCCAAACCATCTCAGTAACCCCTCCTCAGCCCTCTGGATAATAGTTTTGGTAATCCCACACTTCCTTCTAATCTCCAAACTATGGATTCTCTGCATTATATTCACACCACACATTGCCCTCAGACACGACAATGTGATAGATGGTTGATGGAATTTAATATACAATAATTGCCTTGTAAAGGAAATGAAAATGATTACAGGCTACACAAGTTTTTATATATGTATACATTAATTACTAAAAAGAACCAGGGAAACCGGTTATTTTTATATAGCCAGACTTGAGTCCTGGAAATAGGAAGTATACAATGCCTGCACTTTAACCCTTTGACTGTCACAACCCCCAATCCTGAGGTGTCTCCTGGTGTCGCAAAATTTCAAAAAAAAAAAAAAAAAAAAATTCTTATGAAATGATAGAGAATCTTTTCCCGATTGTAATGACACCAAAAAAAACGAAATTTGATGGAAAGCTGACGGAATTATGCTCTCGCGAAGTTAGAGACCTCAGCGATATTTACAAATCGGCGATTTCGCCCACTTTGAGCCCTATTTTCGGCTAATTCCATTGTTCCAGTCGACCAAACGCATAGCTATTTCTTTAGAACTCCATTTTTTCTATCGATTGAGTACAAGAAACTGCAAATTTACCAATTTCAACTACCCAATAATGAGGTCAGAAATTTGCAATTTGGCCAATTTCACGAAAATTAAAAAATATGACAATTTCAAAATAAGGTCCAGAATGAACAATGCAGACATTCCTGACTCTAAAATAACATTTTCTTTGTTCATCAGTCATGTCTCCAGGCCCCTCTGATATTACTCTTGCTTTCTATTTTGAATTTTTATTCAAACAAAAAATAGAAGACTTACTATTATGCAGACTACTGCAATACTGTAATAATTGTATAAATAACATCAACCCATTCATGACTGCATATTACAATGGCTAGTTGGACATTTATTGGACAATGACATCATTTGTTTACTTTTGAACATTGGCAAAAATCAAACATTTTCCCTACTTTGAGCTCCATTTCCAGGTTCTTTTTATAGTAAAATCAATCAAAATCACCTCTACTTCTATAATATGTTTTCTATTCTATCAAATGAGACCAAGAAAATGAGAATACAACCATAAATACTATACGAAAATAGACCACAAAGTCGGCATTTTAATTAAAAAAATGGTCTGAGTTTTTTTTTTTCTCATTATGCACTGCGTGCTCCAGGATTTTTTTTGTATGGTGCACACTGACCACACAGACCCATTCTCTCACATGTGGGCCTACCAGCTTTCTCCTGCTTGATTTGAAGCCGCTAGAATTTATGAGTATATATACGTCAAACACGGTACCTCGTAAGACATATATATACGGCCGCGACAGTCAAAGGGTTAAAGGAGGGGTTTGGGATATTGGCAGTTTGGAAGGATATGTTGTGTATCTTTATATGTATATACTTCTAAACTGTTGTATTCTGGGCACCTCTGCAAAAACAGTGATTATGTGTGAGTGAGGTGAAAGTGTTGAATGATGATGAAAGTATTTTCTTTTTGGGGATTTTCTTTCTTTTTTGGGTCACCCTGCCTCGGCAGGAGATGGCCGACTTTTTAAAAAAAAAAAAAATATTAATCGGGGAAGCACTCAACCCGTAAAAGCCATACAGCACCTGTGAAATAGGAGGTATTTATGTTTGATCCAAGGAAGGGGAGAATCAATAGTCCCTTACATCAAACCTGTCTCCCTTGAGGGACAGGCTACATGAAGAATATACCAGTAGATTGCATGATAAAATATTTACAGTCAGAGAAAGGGATCTGATAGTAATTACAGCCTTCAGAAATATGGATGGAGAAATGCTAAAAAAAAAAAAAAAAAAAAAAAACTAGCCATATTTATGTTGGGCCAAAACTGGAAGTACTGTACTACAACAACTATATATATATATGTACTAGGAAAAAAAAAAAGATATGACAAATTAAACACTAAGAGACTGAATGTCACAAGCATATGTCTGTTCTTGTAACTATAAATTGGGAGTCGTAAATAGGTAATCTCGCACAAAAAAGTCATTACCAGACATCACCGCCCTTTTTACCTTTTTTATACTCACTACTGCTTTGAGTTTCTTTCAGTTTTTCATTCTCACATTACCTCGCATTTCTTCTTTCATCTTTACTTTTTTCTTTGTAAATCCTCACTTTTTTCCTTTGTGCTTGAGTTTTTCACTTGCATCATGTTTTTCTCACTTTCATAACTATGATTTTGTCACCTTTCTATTTTCCATATAGTATTTTGCTGATGAGTAAGACACATGAGCAAGACTTGGGTTTCTTGCCAAAATTATTTTACTTGCGGAGCAGGCCTCTTCAGTAAAGTACAGAGGTGAGTTTTATACTGGAGACATCAGAAGAAGTGGAGAAGTATTCAACTGAAGAAGCCTGCAACATAAGTAAAACATTTTTGCAATAAAGCTACCCAAGTGTTGCACATATGCTTTATTCATAAACTTGTCAGCATTGTATGCCATTAATATAAGTATTTTGCTGGTTAGGCTGTAAATAACAAATAGTTTCATAAGGTTATAAATTATTGTATTCTAAATATTCTTGTTATTCAGTGTTTATTATTGTTTGTGTTATTTGACAGGCTTTCTTCACTCACCGTAAGAAATGAGTAACTTACTCCGTCACTTCTTTCTCTTATGATTACCTCTTATCTTCAGATATAATGTGCTACTAAATTGAAATGCTATTTGCCTTTTAATTCTTAACAATAAGAAAAGGGACAATTTACAACTAATCCACAATTAGGAGAAGAACAATTAGATGACATTATTGTTCATTCTGGACCATAATCACACTGCACATTGACAGTGGCTCTGGATGGACTGAAATGTTCACTACAGTTTCCTCTCCAAATTGCGAGCTAATTTTATTCTTTATAATAAAATGGGATTCTGAATTTCTAAAGGCAAATAGTAATAGGTGTGCCTTTCATTCCCAATTCAATTGGGAATAGAGAGGTTCACAGTTTGATATAAGAAAAGATAGTGTAAATAAATATAGGAAGGATTTTTATGACTAAATAGTAGCATGAAGCTTTTATTTTGTCCACAGATTGAGTCAAATAGCCTCGGGGTATGGTATTCTGCACATTTCTCTGCTATTACTCTAATAGAAATTATGTTTGTTCCTAATAACATAGATAAATTCCTTAACTGTGATTAACTTATTTCAGGATTTTTGTATTGTTTACTTAAGTTTCTAAATCATTTTTGAAAAAGACATAAGTGTATATAGTTATATGTGAATCAGTGTTCTGAAGTTTCTCAGAATGCTGGTGTTAACTCACCACAGAGTAGATTATCAAGGCAAAGTGAGACCACAAGGTAAATTATTAACACGAGACCACAGGGTAGATTATTAAGGTAGAGACCACAGAGTAGAGTATCAAAGCATATTAAGTTGAATCATAGAACATATCAAGACCAAGACAGTTCATAGTGTAGATTATCATCAAGGTGATGTAAGATTATTCTAGCAATAAAAGTTGGAGAGAACTGAGTTTTGACCATTAGCCCTTTGGGGGTCAGCAGGTCCTCTCAGAGACTTATTCTCAGGGTCGCCCAAATTTCAAAAAAAAAAAAAAAAAAAAAAAAAAATTCTAATGAAAAGATAGTTTTTTTTTTTTCTAAACATTATAGGCTAAACAAAAAATTTTTGCCATCAATACTTACTGAGATATGGAGGCGTGAAGTTGACACAAAATGTGCGGTATATGGTATTATCGCCGACTGCCGTCACCCGGTATTGTTTTATTTAGTTTTTTATGTGCTATTTTCTATTATTTTTTAAAAAAAATTTCCAAGTAACTTTCATGGTCTGTGAGACCAATATGAGCACTATTTTGTAAGTTATTTCTTTTTCTATACTACACAATAACTGCATGAACAATATTGTCACTGTTTTGTTTACAGAGAATATTTACACAAACAAACGAAATGATATGTTGTTTATTACTATTTTTCTATATTTTATATACACATATACAGTCACAGAACATGTTTCTAGAAGTTCTGCAGCCTGTGGAAGTCTTTGAAACATGGTGTCATGCACAGTGGTGTTTTACACTCTTCACACATAAAACGAGTGTCTCTGCGTTGTTGTGGGCGTTTTTTTTGTACGTGCACAGATGTAGCACCTCTTCTGAGCCTTTTTCTTGAAAGCAGTAGCAGGCAGTTTTACTAGGAAGTGATCACCATGCTTCAGACGAGAAGGTAGTTGTTGATAATTTAGTGGGCGGTCTATTGCAGGTGTTGTTCCTTGGTACTTGAATACTATTTGTCTGATGACAGACAAACAGAATTCACCATATGATGGTTTGTTTCTGGTCCTCATCTTATACATATTATAAGTATTGGGCATGGAAATGTCCAGAAGATGGAAAAGGAGTTTTATGTACCACTTATAACTCTTGCGAACACAATCAGCAAACCCAATCTGCATGTCGCATTTGTCCACTGAGCGCATATTGAGGGTGTAATCAATCACAGCTGTAGGTTTTAGAATGGGTTCATTGCTTTCTCTATGCTGCCATTTTATTGGGGTGAACTGATGACAACAGTGTGACATCTCGTTTGTCATGCCACCGAAATGCCATGATGTCATTGGCAGCAAATGCCTGCATCTCACCTCTACGAGTGCCAGCGTCAAACCTGGGCATATGCTTACGATTTGCACGCACTGTGCCACACACATCTGTCATGTTCGCTCGTAAAAAATCACTGAGTGAGGGGCTTGTGTTTACCTGGAGAGATTTCCGGGGGTCAACGCCCCCGCGGCCCGGTCTGTGACCAGGCCTCCTTAGGTCAGTGTCCCAGGATGCGACCCACACCAGTCGACTAACACCCAGGTACCCATTTTACTGATGGGGAACATAGACAACAGGTGGAAAGAAACACGTCCAATGTTTCTACTCTGGCTGGGAATCGAACCCAGGCCCTCACCGTGTGAAGCGAGAGCGTTAACCACCAGGCCACCAGAGCCAGTTATCAGTATATAATATATGCCCCTTACCAAGGTATGGTTCTATCATTGTTCTAACCACATCACCAGAGATGCCCAATAACTTCCTGGTATTTTGCAATGTATAACTTCCAGTGTACACAATAATATCCAATACCAGACCACTGTAACAATCACAAAGCACAAACAACTTTATACCAAAGCGTTTCCTCTTGCTTGGTATGTACTGCTTGAAAGAGAGTCCTCCTTTGAACAGAATCAAAGACTCGTCAATTACAAGCTTCCTGAAGGGATAAAAATACATATTGAATTTCTCTTTCAGATACACAAACACATTCCTAATCTTATATAACCTGTCGTTTCTGTCAGGCCTGGTTTTGTCTGAGAAGTGAAGCATACATAACAGTAACACAAATCAATTCACTCCCATTATATCACTGAAACCTAGGGTTGCAATCAGGCGGTCTGTTGACCAGTATGATTTCACTCTGTGCTTATACACACGTGGCATAAGCATTATTGTGGAAAAGATAAGATACATCTCGGCCACAGTTGTCTCCTTCCACTGGTGTAGACGTGATTTTGGTGAAAGTAATGTGTTTGCCATGGTGTACTCGTAGTATCTGTTGCTTTCCCTGACAATAATTTCCATCAGGGGTTCGTCAAAGAATAACTTGAAACATTCCAGTTCAGTGGCATTGTTCCCCAGTGCACAACATGGCCGTATTCCTCATTGGCTTTCATCAAACTGGTGGGGATTTGGAACAAAATTGACAGCTTCCTACCAATCCCAGGTGCGGTCTGCTGGTGGGTACTGGACATTGACAGGTGGTTGTGGTTGTGGAGGCTGGTGTGGTGGGTGGGTGGGGGATGGTGGCCTTTGTTGTAGACCAGCTGAGGCAGCGGCATGGGTGGCAGCAGCGTGGGTGGCAGCGGCGTGGGTGGCAGCATGGCCCACTGCTGGTGCCTCACAGCCGGCACCACCACTACCACCACCAGCACATTTTCCATCCCAATTGCAACACTATCATCGTCATTTTCACTGTCTGTTCCTGTTGTACAGCCACGGGATGTACTCCGAGATGTACTCCTTCCCCTTGGAATAGCATATGGCACACTACCAGAGCGCATATATCGTCGTATATACTGACGCTTCACTGGAGAATATTCCACTTCACTATCACTACTGGAACTGGTTTCAAGAGCTTGTAGTTATTATTCACTATCACTATCATCACCAAGTCACATCTGAGTCCGGGATTTGGGAAAATAGGAGTTTCCTCTTTGATTCTGGTACAACTGAACGTGAACAAGACGGCCCAGCAGCAGAGGTGGAAGGCTGAGGGTCGTCTGGGTTTTCCTCACTATTACCGATATTATGTTCATTAGTTTCGGTCACAACCTCACTAAAACCTTGAAACTCATCTTCACTGGCACTTCCATCTGTATTAGAACTGTCACTGGGGAACAAAAGTGTCCCAATTTGCCGAGGAGTGAGGAGCTTCTTACCACGAGGCATGGTGAACAAGGTCTACTAAAATGGCGTTCCCACAATGCGCCACTGGGTCCCAGATTTTTTTCCTACCACGCACACTGACCACACACACCCATTCTCTCATACCTAGGCCTACCAGCCTTTTCCCGTGAGATTTAAAGGCGCTAGAATTTATGCGTACTAGTACATCAAAAACACTGGCGCGTAAGCCATACTAGTACGGCCGAAACCCCCAAAGGGTTAGACAATACAGTACTCTACCAAAACTGTAATGAAAAATTTTGTTGCATTTTTTTTTCTAACTACAGTACCTTTTGACCACAGACCATCTGGGTATGAATAAATATTCACCAGTAAAGAATACAGGTCTCCCTCCACACTTGCGAGTTCCACTTTCACGGGCTTCGAACATTCGCGAATGCCCAGCCACCCAATCATAATGTGTATATACAATATTTTACGATGTTTTCATGTGTTTTATGATTGTTCGTGGTTCAACAGGTTAAGGAAGGAGTATTGTTTGGCCAAGTAAATGCTATTATTATATTATTACGAGAATCTTGATCCTCTAACCCTCGTGAATGTGGTGGGCTGCGATCCCCTAACTCTTGGAAATGTGGAGGGAGACCTGTACTGTCTAACTGAAAAAAGTGTCTTTTGGGGCTAGGCCTTCCAAATCTGTTCAGATGCATGTTTTAGAGATACACATATTTCATTGTGGCAGAAAGAAAGAGCTGTCTTTTCAACACTGAGTATCTAGTTTTAGCATATTAGTAATACATATTTATAGTTTAGAAGAGATAGCATACACTGATATATTTCAATTGGCAGAGCTCTATACTTTCAGCTGATAGAGTAGAAATTTATTTCATTTTCAGGCATATTTAATAGTATTTTGTTTATTAAAATGTGTACACACCTAGCAACTCTTGTATAGGTTCAGACCAAGTTAAATTAGACCTTTATAACACCATGGGATGTGACATAGAAGAAAAAGTATTAATAATATAGAGTTCAGTTCCATTGCACAGGAACTAATTTTAGTTATCCATGTGCCATACATTTTTTTAAAAAAAATGGACACTATGAGCACTTAATTTTGAGGAATCTGGACAGTGAAAGGGTTAATACCAGTGAGGGGGCTTTTTATCCAAGGAATTAGACTTGTTCTTGCCTTGGATCAAACCTGATTCCCTCCCATTCCCCAGGCTCTGTATAGAGAATAATAATAATACCTGAGGGCAATGTGTGGTATGTATATTATGCAGAGAACTTGTAGTTTGAAGATTAGAAAGAGGTGCACGGTTACTAAAATTATTATCCAGAGAGCTTAGGAGGGGTTATTGAAGTGGTTTGGACATTTAGAGAGAATGGAGTAAACTAGAATAACTTGGACGGTGTATAAATTTGATGTAGATGGAAGGAGAGGTAGGGTTGCCCTAGGAAAAGTTGGAAGGTCAGGGTAAAGAAGGTTTTGTATGCAAAAGTTGCTTGGGTATCCATCAAGCATGTATGACCATGTTAGATAGGTGTGAGTGGAGGCAAGTGGTTTTTATGACTTTATGTACTGTTGGATTGTGAGTAAGGTAACATTCATGAAGAGAATCAGGGAAACTGGTTAGCCAGACTTGAGTTCTGGAGGTGGGAAGTGTAGTGCCTCCACTCTGAAGTAGGGGTGGGAATATTGCAATTTGAAAGAGCATCTGAGCTGTATTGTTAGTGCACCTCTAGCAAGATGGTGTTGGCATGAGTAATGGTGAAAGTGTTTTTTCTTATTCAGGTCACCCTACCTTGGTGAGAGATGGATGGCTAGTGTTAAAAAAAAAAATAAAACTAGGGTGAACATATACGCAAGATAAGATGATTTAGGGATTTTTGTCCCCCCCCCCCCAAAAAAAAAAAAAAAAAATCAGGGATTGGTTTGTATTAAGTACATGTACGTATTATTTTCTGATTGACTTTTGCAAAATGTAAATAATTTTAATGATTAGGCTCTCCTTGGTTAATTTGTCAGTTTTTATAGATTATTGCAGAATTATGGATGTTAGCATACACATGAGCAAACAAACAAACAAAAAAAAATTGAGCCAGGCAAGAGACTTACCAGCACAGTACATGTATTGTAAATTTCATTATGCAACAATGAAACTTGGAAATATTTAAAGGAAAACACACAAGTAAGGATAAGCATAACTTATTTAGTAGTTACCATTTTCATGTAAATTTGTTAGATGTATACAGGTACAGCACATTTGTGAAGAAATAAAAATGTATCAATAGAAATTTATATTTTTGTAAGAAAGTGATGATATTAGAAAATAGGGCAAGTGAAGATAAACACCTGTAGTAACCAGTAGATATAATAAGGAAACAAAACACTAAAATACGTACTAAGTTGAGTGATAATGTAGCTAATTAATGTAATGTCAGATAATCGACTCAGTGGTGGAACTACCATTGGCCCATAAGAAGCTTCTTATTGAGTTATTCATTATTTATTTTATATACTGTATAAAACTAATTTTCAGAAATATTTTAAAATTATTTTGTTGCCTCTTTTGTTAGATATTTTCAGAAGAATTTCAGGCATTTAATTTAAGATTGGCTGTTAAATATTTTCTTGTTTTCTGTTTTCATTGTTTGGTTTGACTGCATTTCTATTTGGCTGTGAGGAATGCTTAGTTAAATCATTTTCCTTGCATGTTAAGAGATTGAAGTTTGTGTTTTGTTACAAACTAAATCAGATCAATAGTGTAAGAGAATTTCAGCATTTGTTCAGAAATAATTTGAATGATTTTGTATAACTACATTAACATGGTAGATGTTGATACTGTATGTGTATTTAAGTGTTGTGGAGAGAAATTGTATTTGTAGCTTCAAAGAAATGCTATTGTGTGCTTTACAATCCATAGCATTTAGAGACTGATGTACTGTCCCATCTTCATCTTCAGCAGTGATAAAACAGGTGCTAATATCCATTGCCAACAAGTACCGATTGGTTGTTTTGAAATTAGATACATATTAAGGCTTTCTTTGATAGCAGCAATATTTCTTGAGAATATTTGCCATAATGACCTGTAGGGCAGTGCCAGTGGACAGTTGTCTTCATTCATTTAAAAAAAGTTCTTGCTCATCAAGCTTTCAGGTGCATAACATAACTTTAATGGAAATATACTTTAGCTAAAAATTCCTAACTTAGTTTAAGACCCTTTTGGTTATGTATATAAACTTATTTTAAATTTATGTGGAATGAATTGGATTAAAAATATTTACAAATAATATTGCATTTATGTCTTGGGCCAGTTTGAAATATGCTGATAAAACCAAATTTTATTACAGTAACCAACATCACACTGATTATAATAATTTTCATTTTGTGAAGTATAATAATTTTCATTTTGTGAAGTATAATAATTTTCATTTTGTGAAGTTGGTATACAGTCATTTTCCTTTTATTTTCTTTGTTATAGTTCAAAATTTGTTGTTGTATTTCCCTGTACAGTTAAGAACATAATTTGGATTTGTGTTAGTGTTAAGGATAGACATCAAGGACTTTATTACTGTGCATAAGTTGTAAGATCATATTTGTCCTGTCCAAGGGATAGGATTGATTTCACTAGGTTTTAAAGATTTTAAATTATAATGTGAGCACTGAGCAGGCACACTATAATTTTATAAATGAAGTTTTTTGTAAATTAAAACTGTTATATATAATTATGTACAGTATCATGATAAAATTAAATTTACGAGTAGCTTTACCAACCAACACAGAAATTACCATTATTTTGCATCTTTAAGCAAATTATTATCATAGTCTGTATAAAAAAAAATAATTAGCAAGGCCACCCACAGCTCATTATAGATATGAGCTTTTTCAACAACTGTGTTAAAATGAAAAACAACTTTTGAGCCAGAATGTTTGACTGTGCAGGCTGCTGCAGTGTGTGTTGAGGAGCCTGATGGTTCCATGTGAAGTTTTTGTGCTAAACATTACCTTAGAGTGCTAAACTCTCATAGTAACAGGTATAGCATGATCTTGGATACTCACTGGAGTGACTTTTGCACAAAATACAGTAAATTTTTTTTTAATATTTGGTGAGAATTGATGAAATGTGTGATTTAGGAATTCAAATATTAGATCTATGGGCAGGTGGTCACTTGCATTCTGCAAGTGGTAACAGAAGTAACCTCTTTATAAAGATTCTAACAAGGAAACAGTAGGGAGTTCAGCAGTGTTGAGTTACCCGTTCTGCAATGAGCTTGCAGCGCTGTATAGCCCTTGTGGTTTAGCGCTTCTTTTTGATTATAATAATAATGCAATGAGCTTGATGAACTAAATCTTCAGTGTTAGCCATTGTTAATCCCAATTTATGAGAGTTACAGTGTCAGCTACGAAATACTAAATAGAAAAATATTTAAATTACTAAAAATTTAATAACCTATGCTACAGAAACTTATTTAAGGCATTGTACGAAGACTGTAACATTACAATATTATTAATACGTTTAAAAATTATTAAACCATACAGTACATAAAATTATTTTAATTAAGCTTTTACTGTTTCTGCATAATTAACTTTGATGTAAGCCAGTGATTCTTTACACATATTTCACACAAAAATAATGATGGATTCATCATTGTGTGCTGTGGGTGTTGCTGCATGATACTAGTGTTAACAGGAAGTGGTCAGTGCTGTTTCTGTTCAGGAAATTTATATACTGTTTCTGTTCACTCAGTTATTTCTCACAATGAAGAATCTTCCATGCACTACATTGAAATTTCAAGTTCTATCCAGGAAACTCTTGTTCTTTTCTGTCATCATCTATGATCTTATAACGTGTACATAGGTTTCAAGCATATTGAAATCTTCTGAAACTCTGCAGAAGATGAAAAGATAGCAGTTTGTCTTCCTAACAAAGGTTTTAGTATCTGGAGTGCAACATCTTGCCTATAAGGTTATACTGTGGAACCTCAGTACTTGAACTTAATTAATTCCAGAAGGCTGTTTGAATGGCAAATGAATTTTTCCCAACCAGTTTTCTTTTTTGTTGGCTGTTATCATTAACAAAGTTCTAGCAGGTCATGTTTGTTTGGTCAAGTGCCGAGCAAACGGTCAACTACCGAATGTTTTTTTACTGAACAAAGCATTCGAATACTGAATTGTTTGAGTACCAAGGTTACACTGTAATTGTCATGTATATATATGCAGCCAGAAAACTGACTCCTTGTTAGCGAAGTAACATGCATGCCTTGGTGTAAGTTACATCCCCCTGCTAAATCACTCAGACCTTCCCTTTTAAAACATTGTTTTGAAAGTGCTAGCTGTAAATTATATTATAGAATGACATATACGATGTCAAATGTCATTTATTTTTTAAGCTTGTATAATTCAAATATTTTTCATTCAAATTACAGTTATAGTTCTCTAAATATGTTGATGTAATGGTCATATTTTTATAATTTTTTATTGGTTTAGTATAATGACCCCAATGCACTTCTTTAGTATCTTACCAGTCTTATATTGTGACAGGTTCAAGCAATTGTTGACCATCACCATCCCACGGGTGAGCACTCTGCTAGCAAGGTGCGCTTCAAGGAGGATGAACCTGCACTAGATTCTGATGCAGAAGCAGAAATGGTAAGGAAACCCTTGTGCATGTTAAATTTATTTAGCTACATGCAGTTAAACATATTGATTATATTCAACAGTCTTCTTTAACTTTTGTTTTTCAGATGGACTGTGAAGAGTAAAAATAGTAACAATGTTTGACAGAATATACGTTATTTGGATTTTTTTTGTCTTGTCAAAATTTTCATGGAGTATAAAAGAGGCACATAATGCAAGTGCTTTAATACTCAAATTTATTGAACTTAAAAATAATTGGAGTTAACATTTATAAACATGTTCTAAATTTATTAGTATTATTAATGCATATGAAAAACTTTCAGTTAATTATAATGGTCTGTATCAGAATTGCTTTATCTCATTTGGTAATTGTTTTAATTGAGTGATGTTTTCTGCTTGTGTGTGTAATTATAGAGTGGAGCATCAGAAGACACAGAGAAGAAGACAAGCAAAAATGAAAGTTTCAAGAAGCTGCTTACCATCAAACCGTAAGTACACTATTAAGTAAAAGAAATCCCAAGTGTTGTATATATTTTTAAATAAACCTCAGCCATGATAGGTTAAAACAGTTAAATTTAGTAGTATTACAATCTACCTTTGAAAAATGCCAAAGGAAATAAATGATTGGGATACATAATTATTTCCACTATTCATACAAAATTTCTTAGTGTTGTAATTTTAAAATTAATGCAACAGCATAAAGTGGATGATGCTTCTCAACAGTTTGGAAAGTACTTTGTGTGAGAATTAGGCATTTAATGTATTCCTGTGTTAAGGGGAAACTAATGTTGATCAGTTATTCTTAGTGTGAGAAATAGCTCGTATGATACAGATAAAGTTGGTGTATGAACAAATCCATTTGTCATACACTTTCCTTACTTTCTACAAGTACTGCTGTACTAAAAAGGTAATGGCTTATGAACCATCATTGTTTTTACAGAGATGAAGCAAATGTTCGACGTATGCACACTGCCGTGAAGTTAAATGAAGTAATTGTGAATAAATCTCACAATGCACAGCTTGTCATTATTAATTTGCCTGGACCCCCCAAGACTTCAAGACCGGAATCTGAAAGCAACTATATGGAATTCTTGGAAGTTTTAACGGAAGGATTGGAGAGAGTATTGATGGTGAGAGGTGGAGGTCGTGAGGTTATTACCATCTACTCATGAGTCATTATTCATGACATATACATGTACTTAGTTATTTTCTGTGGTGTCCAACATATTCACATGAGAATGAGATACTAGAGAAAGGTTTACAATTTGTAAAAAATAGGAAGTTTGGTGATGAATGATAAATAATTTCCAATATCTCCCGTCTACAAAAGCATTATACGCTACAGTAGCTGATAATCTTTTTGAAGATTGGGCAGCAAATAGTAATGTGTTGTTGAATATTAAAAGTTTGAAAATTTATGGCAGCAAATGCTCTTATGGTAATGAGTTGTTATTACAAGTCTGGACATTTGTAGTATACTCGTGCGTTTTGTAGCTTGTCATACTGTACCATATAATGGTAAAATGTCAAGTTCCCTCAGGAGTCTTCATTTATACAAATGTAAAGGCAACCAAAAGGAACAATAGGTTTGATTTAATAAAAGTATCATTCATGTAATGTTTACATTTTATAAAGCTTATATGCAATGGAATGTAAAAAAATAATAGTGCATGTTTGATTTATATTTTATTATTTCTTACACACTGGTGTGTAAGGATATGCAACACGACCAGTATACACTAGCTATTGATTTTTATAAATAGTCTCAAAATTTAAATATTAGTTTTTTTTTTTTATATATACGAAGACTTTTTACTAAGTGATGATACAGTTTAAATTTAGGTGCCCATGAGAACATTCAAGTCTAAAGACTTTCAGTAGCATGTTTGGAATTTAGTATTTTGATAATTGTTTTTCAGACTTGCAATTTTTTGGTAATGTATGGCTCTTGTGGTAAAATTAATAATATAAGAACAATATTAAAGACTAAAGACATCCCATGCATAATCAAATTGTCAGGTTACAATGTTTCACGTTACTTGGAATATGATACAAATTCAGAATTGTCGATAATTTGGTAGTATAACAGTAATATTGTTAAGCATTAGTAAACAAATTGTGAAATTAACTGGTATCAGTAATATAGTAAATAATTTTAATACTAAAGCACATTATTACATTCAAGGGAGGCAATGATCTTTGATCCAAAGAAAGGAAGCTAATTCCTTGGATCAAGAACCCTTCAGCAACATATATAGTACAGCCACATTTATCTGAAATGGTCGGGACCAAGGGTGTTTTAACTTATTACAGTATTTTAATTGGGGCAGGGGAATGGGAGGTAATCATGTTCATTCCAAAGGGACTCTTGTGTATTAACCACGTGCACCTCCCACAGATACCTCATGGAAAAATACCCAGCACTGCTGTGCAAGGACTGTCAGTTCAATGTGTTATATTGTCCAACTTTCCAGCAGACACAGTTTGCTTCTGTCATCTCTGCCGCCTCAACACACTAACTTCTGACCTTGCTGAAAGTTCCATCTCTCTGACTAATAAACTACACCAACTAATTTTTTTTCCTCTTGCACACTCCCTGCCAGCCACTCCCTTATCACCTTTGCATATTTCTACTTTTTGACATCCTTCCCTGCAGTGCTGTATGCCCTTGGGTTTAGCATTTATAATCATAACTAAACCAACAAGTTTAGTATTTAATTTGATTATTCCAAGGAAAGGATAGGTCCAATTCCTTGGATCAAGAGCCTTCACTGGCATCAGGGTACCTCCCCTGAGGGGTGGGTTAACTTGTATTTCTTGACTATATGAACGTTGCAGAGCCTTGGTGTCCAAGGCAAGAACATGATAGTCACAATTAGGTTATCATATTCATAGCAAAGAAAGAACTGGTTGCTATCAGGAAAAAATCATGCTGTGATGGATACAAGGGCCAGTGGGGCAACAGTCTGGTTGACCACTTAAGCCTGGTCCAGGGCCAGGCTGCAGAGTAGGAAAACTCGAAACCAAAGGTATAGTGTTTTGCAGAGGAGAGGGGGAAGGGGGTAATGCAACCATAAGGAAATTGACCAATAAGCAAAGATAAACCCCCCTCCCCTTGCAGCAGGAAATCCAGGAACAGTTCTAACTTCATACAGTTCAAAAAAACTAGGTAGGACAGGCCTCTATATCCTCTCAGTGAAAAGCTAATAGGGAAGACCAAAATGCAATACACATTCAGATAGGTAATTACAAGAGCAACTTTAATGGATCCAGCAGCCACTGCATCCTGATGTCCAAGTGTTGTTGAAGGATGGAAAGTGTGACCAGAAGCAAATAGATAAGAAAAAAAAAAAATCTAAATGTGAGGGACTTGGGTACAGTGTGGCACCACACTATAATTATGTCTTAGACAAGGATATCGTACAAATTTGCTAGAGGCTCATTCTACTACAAATGATAAAGAAGAAAAGGTATAATGACTATTCTTGAATCGATATGAGGGAGCAAAAGCAGGATACAAGGAGTGAAGGAAATGCACAGCAAAAGCAACAATCAACAAAACAGAATTGAGCAAAAGGACCAGAAATGATTATGTACTTTGTGTCTAGACACGTGTGACATGAAGTTATAGCAGTGACATTCACAACGTTAAACATACTTATTAACACAGTGGATGTGATGGCACTGTTCAAAAGAGGGACTTGACTAAGACAAGCTAAAAACCAAGATGAGTGAGATGTAAGCAGTGAGAGCATAATACACCAGTAGAAGATAGTAGAGGCCAACTTCATACAAGAGTTCAAATGTAAATAATGTTTGACAGAGCCCATGGGGCTTAGGAAATATCACATGTCAGTTAAAAATTATAATGCAGTGTTCAAGAACTGGAGACTGATCCCTGCAAATACAAATTAATACTATACAAGATGAGAGCATATGGTAATTCATTACACCTAATTATTACTAATTATTATTATAATCAAAAAAAGAAGCGCTAAGCCACAAGGACTATACAGCTAATTATTACTAATACTGTACAATCTTTTGATTATAATAATGTACAATCATGTTATATTCCTTATAAGAAAAGCAATTTCAGTACCATGCATTATCAAAATACAGGAACTGTACTTACCATAAACTGCTCTTTGTTTGAATTCCATGAACCACTAAAAGGAATAGCAGCATGTTTGCATAACATTTTTAACACCTTTTCATCTAGTCAGTCCTCTGTATACATTTGGTATGTATTAGTACTTGCACTCCCTCAGCTCTGTACAAGACACTGTGCAGACTCCATTATTTGGTTGCCTGTCTAGGCTTGATGATGACCTCAACATGGACAACTTCTATTGTTTGTGTGGACTTTCAACTTGCTTCACTCTCCTGGAGGACAGTGATCTGCATTCATTCTGCTTTGCACATAGGCCATGCTCTGATGGAATACCAATACCTACAGTAAATCAAAATGGGGGTCTTACACTTTAACTGTGCCATGTGTTGTCAATATATAGACTGCCACATCCACACTAATAATTATTTAACTATTTCATGAATATTTCATCATTCAGTTTAATAACTTGTATATAGATGCTTAACAATTTTACACCTGGGAGTAGCTATGAATAAGTAACACTGAGGATTATAATAGTTTACTATACACCATTTTCCACCCTCCCTGGCTAGCAAGCCAGGTGATTCCTTTAATCAGGGGCTCAAAACAAAACAAATAGACCCCTGGCTATCTTCAGGAAGGCACTGGACAGGCATCTAACATCAGTACCTGACCAGCTGGGCTGTGATTCATACATCGGTTAATGTGTAGCCAGCAGTAACAGCCTGGTTGATCAGACCCTGATCCACCACGAGGCCTAGTCTCAGACCTGGCAGCGGGGGCGTTAACCCCCGAAACCCTCTCTGGGTAAACCTCAGCCAGGTATTTAATAAAAACCCATGCCTTCATTGCACTATGTCCCTATACCTCCATTCTGCCCCTGGAGGGAAACCTTTGCAAGTCACACAGGAATTTCTCAGTGGTTAGGATTATAGGTCCCACTCTGGTTTCCCAAAACTTTTTTTAGGAATTAGTCGAGTTCTCTTCTGCCAACAGATTATGAGAGTCATGTTGAGATGTATATGGGAGGGTGGGGGTACTGTACAGGCACATTGTTCATCATGGGTGGCCTGATACCCTCCTCCAGAGCCCTCATACACTTAATGCATGGATATTCATAATGTGCTTAATTCACCAGGAATTCTGCCATTGTTTCTGCTTCCATCCACCTCAGTGGAGGTAATAATTAGCATCCATAGCATCCTCATCAAACCTCTGCAGTGGCTTCAACCTTAACTCCCAGCCTTACCGAACATGGCAAGGGACACTCTTACATTTTAGTTACATAACTTCTGTCATGAGATGTTCTTGAGGGCTGACCTCTTCTGGAAGTGTTATAAACCTAAATGTGATACATGAAGAATCACATTTAGCTTTATAATTTTTTCCATGCCAAACAGAATGATTCGTCTAGGACCACCATTGGGCCTTTACTCATCCTTAGTGTGGCAGGTATTCTGACTCTCCTATGGGCTGAGGCTTTTACACTCACAGGTGTTGCTCAGCTCATGGTCAAGTTCCTCACATGTGTTCCATGAGAGGCAGACAATATGTACTATACAATTGCACCCCGGAAGAGGCTGTACATCACTTGGGAGTTTTGATACAGATCACCCTCCTCAAGATTTTCACTATCTTCCATGTAGAGCTATGTTATTGATACCAGTATCTTATTTAAATCTATGTTTTAAGTACAGTACTTTCAAATATACTGAAAGTTTGAACTCTTTTCTAGGGTGGTTTTTATGGTATTTTTGGCTGTTTCTCAGTATCATTTAATAGAAAGATATGCTAGTAAAATAGAGATGATTTTGGTTTAAGACTGGAAATAGCTTGCAACAAGACTCACTGTGGTAGAAATATTCAATTTTTGGTGATTTTCCTGTGAAAGGGAAGGGTGGGAAGTATAGTTGCAAAGTGACCAACATAATACTTCAAATGAGAGGGTATTTGGTGATCAATACAATGGTATGTGTGTTGTAACCTGGTTTTTCTGTATTAGTTGTCTGATGACAGACAAACAAAAGTGGGCATACGACAGTCTGTTCCTGGTCTTGATCTGGTACATATTGTATGCATTCAGCATTGCAATGTCCACAACTTAAAGAAAAGTTTCATGTACTACTTGTAACTCTTGCTGACACAATTAACAAATCCAATCTGCATATCACATTTGTCAATCAGTAGGTTTATTGTTGTCTCTATTCACCATTCCTGTCTTTTTTTTTTTCTTGCTGGTGGATTGATATCAACAATGTCACATTATGTTTATCGTGTAACCAAAAGGCCATGATGTCATTGACATGAAACGCCTGTGCCTCATTGGTATTAATCCGTGAACCTGGGCACATGTTTACATGTTCCATGCACTGTACCACACACATCTCTAATGTTCATTCGCATTAAATCATTGTGTAAGAGGCTTGTGTACTAGTTAAACATAACCAGAGATTCCCAATAGCTTCCTGGTATCCATATTTTCCTTCTTTTGTACGCAACAAGATCCAACACCAGGCCAATTTCAGTCACATAACATGAATGGCTTGATACCACAACATTTCCTCTTGCATGGTATATACTGCTTGAACAACTATCTACCTTTGAACAACAAAAGTTTGTTCATGACAAGGTTCCCGAAGGGATAAAAACACTTTGTGAACTTCTGGTTGAGATATATAAAAATACCTGAGTCTTTTATAACGTGTCACTTTTGTCAGGCCTCATCTCTTCAGAGAAGCGTTGATGGGGATGAGATCACTGAACGTCAGGGTACATGTAAGGTGGTCAGTCGACCACATGTCGCATAAGCATGATTGTGGCAAAGAAAAGACATCTCAGCCATACCTGTGTCTTTCTACTTGTGTAGCCATGATCATGTTGAAACCAATGTTTGCCACTGTATACTCAAAATATCTGTTGGTTTTCCTTCACTATCATTTCCATCAAGGACTTGATATAAATTTCAAAGAATTCAAGTTCAGTTGAGTTGAATTCCACTTTGTCATTAAACTGATGGGGATTGGGTACAAAATTACATCCTCCTGCCAATCCCAGATGTGGTCTGGTGGTAGTTGCTGGATATTTAGGGCTGGTTGTGGTGGTGATGGTATTTTATGTCGGTGGTGGACATGGTCTGTAGTAGTTAGGGTGTGGTGTGTGGGGTATGGCTCCCAGCCTGGGCTGGCACTGGCCACCTCCCTGTCCCAATAGCCATTGATACAATGCTGGCAATGCTTGTGGCCCACTTCCAATGCCAATGGAAGCACAGTCATCATTATAACCATCTGTTGACAGTGTTGGGTCCCGTGATGTACTACATCCCTTGGGGACAGTAATGAGGAGTGGAGGGAACACTACCAAACTGCTTGCATTGATGTATAAGTTGATGCTTCACAGGTAAATAATCATCACTATGAAGATTGAGACACTTACGCAGCATATGGGAATCTTTATTCAGGAAACGTTTCGCCACACAGTGGCTTCATCAGTCCAATACAAAGAAGAAGGTGTAAGGAGAGGAGGAGTATGAGGTAATCAGTCCCTCGGCCTGGAGCCAATGTGTTCAGTCCATCAATCTTGTACTTTCTACAAGATTGATGGACTGAACACATCGACTCCAGGCCGAGGGACTGATTACCTCATACTCCTCCTCTCCTTACGCCTTCTTCTTTGTATTGGACTGATGAAGCCACTGTGTGGCGAAACGTTTCCTGAATAAAGATTCCCATATGCTGCATAAGTGTCTCAATCTTCAACTTGTCGGTTTTTCAAACCATTCATCACAATCATCACTATCACTAGACTGGTTATCAGTTACTAGGAAATGGAAAGTCCACATCACTTTCATCATTACTACTTGCATCCATGCCCAAACTGAGGGAATATGAGCTTTTGCTTATGGTGTGAACGTGTTCTGGATGAACTGATCCCAGATGTGGATGGCTGCGGTTATCACGGTGTTCAGAGTATGGTTGTCAGCATCCTGAGTGTCACTTTTGGTTATTAAACATTTAAAACCTTAGAACTTGTCCTTGGTTCCATAATGCTGGTGAATAATACATGTTGAATTTGCCTGGAAGTGAAGCCCTTGCATCAGCATGGCATGATGAACAATAGTATACTAAGATGGCATTCCCACAATGCATTTTCATTGGCCATCAACATTGCACATGTATGCACACATGCATGCAAACATGCACTATTTCATTTAAAATGGTGATTTTAGCAGTGAGAGAGTTTCAAAACAAACATAATTTTTTCTTTTCAACATGCTGGCCATCTCCTACT